ATCGTGTTTCATTCCTGGCATGTAACTGTAATAGATTGATAGTGGGGGATTTTCCTACTTAGGAGGAGGTGGAATATTAATTATAGTTTTGTAATTAGGTTTGGATTTAGTTACCCTGCTAATGCAACATATGTCAACAAGGATTACTCAGTCTGTTTCCGAGAATTTGTAAAAGGCCTTTGCAAGATAGGGAATAATACCAAAGTGGAAAAACACAGCATGTTTGGGAGAAAAATAGAGGCAAAGCTGGGCAGACAACATGAAGTGAGTTAGGAAGCAGAGTTTCCCCTAAAAGTGCATAATAGACTTACTGATTAGTTTCTTACTCTTTTGTTCTAATCGTAACAGATTTAGTGATTCATTTATAATTCTTATCTGTTGCCAAATTACTAGTTTTTTGACTTTTCATAGTTTACAAGGCAAGTCTGCTCCTTGATATAACTATGAAAAGTCAAAAAACTAGTAAAGGAGGGGGAGTGAGAAAAGGGGACAGTGTCAGCTCCTCTCTTATCCTTGGTAGGACTCCACTCACCACCTATCTCTTAACTTAAAATTAAATGACTTTGCTGTATATGGGATTTGGACAATAAGGGAAGGAAAGGTGACACATTTATGGCTATTTATTAAAAGATGTCTTTGGCACCTAGCTCTTTGCATTGAACATTTTACTGTTGGTTTTTTTTTTTTATTAGAAATCACTGAAAGCAGGTCTTTTGGGCAAAATTATTCCATGTTAACTTCAAGCCAGGGCTTCTAATGAGTTATTCCCAATTCAATATGGCCAACAAAGCGAAACTGGGATAAAACCAGATTTGTGAATGTAGGTGTACTGTAACTGGAATGGAAAAAAAAAACCTAGAAAATGCATACTTAGAAAATTAACTGCCCCACAGAACACACTACCCATGGTGGACAGTGCTGGCTGGAGCTTCCCGACTAAATCAAGCCTGGAAGCAGGAGCGGCATCCACTTCCGAAATAGCTTGCCTCCGGAAACTCTATGTACGAACAGTGCTCAGGCCGTTCATTCATAGGGTCGCTATGAGTCGTCTACGACTCGACGGCATTAAACAACAACAACAACAACCAGAACACACAGACTAAGCATAGTAACCAAATATTTTGATTGGCAGGATCAGAAACCGTGTGTGGCTGAAAGATGATGGTGACCATATCATTTGAACTGTGTGTCTATGTCCACAGTGCTGGCTAATTATCCAGTCTCCTGAATTAGGCTCTGGAAAGGGCCCGTTAAGCTTCTTCCAAATCTCTCCTTCCACAAATAGACCTATAATTTTTCTATTCCAGTCATCATCATTTTGGGACTCTTACATTTTAAAAATTTGCATCTGTTTCAATTTCTCTGCATTGGTCATGTCTGAACCAATTTGAACACGTTGGAAGCCCTACTCTCCAGTCTCTCTTTCTGTTTTCCTTTATTTTCTTGATTTCTTGTTATAAATGATACATTAAGTCCATTCTGATGAATAATACTCTTATAGGCGAGGACTACGAATGACAAATGAATTGATGTCTATGAACTGTGGTGTTGGAGAAGAGTGCTGAAGATCCCATGGACTGCCAACGGAACAGATATGTCTAGGATAAGGTGTAGCTAGAGTGCTCCTTGGAGGCAAGGATGATGAGGCTTTGTCTCTCATACTTTTAATATATTGCTGGGAGAGGTTATTTATTAGAGAGAGACATTATGACTGGGAAGGTGGAGGGGCAGTGAAGGAGAGGAAGACCTTAACCAGGTGGCTTGGCAAGGTGACCAATAGGCTTGAGTGTATCAGAGACTGTGAGCATGGCTGGGATAGGACAGTGTTCAGATCAGTTGTTCACAGGGTTGCTATGAGTCACATGCAACTCGACAGCACTTAACAACAACAATATAATATAGGGTAGAACTGCCCTGTTAGGTTTACAAAATTGTAATCTTCCCAGAATCTGATTGCCACATCTGCTTCCTCACGGAGTGACTTCTGTGTTTCAGCTGCCAACCTTTCATATAGAGATCTACATATAGGTACTAATGTTTCAAAGTAGTTTCCTTGAAGTCCTTCTGATTAGATTTGAGAGAATACATAATGAACTTACCTACTCACTTCCCTCTGAAAGAGTGTTTTTGGTAGATACCAGGATCACAAATTCTCATTTGTATTCAACCTCATTAATCTTAGTGGAAATTCTGTCTAAAACTCTGATCTAAAGTCTTATTTTAAAAGATTTTACTTTTCATTTCCAGCTTATTTTTCACTTGATTTTTAATCATGGCCATTGATTTTTGTTGTTAATTTATTGAGATATCTATACCATATAACCTACTTATTTCAATTGTGCAATTCAAAGTTTTTTATAGCTGTGGGTAATTGCAGCTGTGAAATCATCACTATAATGAATTTTATATTTAATTATTTAAGTAAAACAACCTTACACCCTTTAGATATGACCTTCCCAAATTGCCTCCATTTTAGCCGCATGAAAACATTGATTTAATTTCTGTGTCTAGATATTTACTTTATCTGGACATTTCAAATAAAAGGAATCGTATAACGTGTGGTTTTGGCATTTGACTTCTTTTACTTTGTATTATATTTAAAGGTTCCTCTATGTTAATTCCCTCATGTATCAGTACTTCATTTCTACTTCAATCTCGTTAATATTCCATTGTATGGCTCTATAACAGTCCATTTCATCAGCTCCATTCATCAGTTGATAGATATTTGGCTTTCCCCCACTTTTTGGTAATTGTGACTAATGGTTCTGTGAACATTTGTAAACAAGTTTTGGTATGGACAGATCGTTTCTTTGAGATATATAACTTAAAGTGGATTGCTGAGTCAAATATTTACTCTATATTTATCATTTTAAAGAATGGTCAGATTATTTCCAAAATGATTGCACTATTTTTCATTCTTACCAGCAGTATGTGAGTGTTTCAGTTTGCCTGCATTCTTTTCAATACTGTTACTACCTGAATAATTTACTATTGCAGTTATAACAGGTAGAGCTCTGGTGATTTATGTGTTGCATGTTGTTGTTAACCTAAATGTTGGTAGTTTGTATTCAACCAACACTTCGTGGGAAAAAAGATGAGCAGTCTCCTTCTTTAAGATTTATGTCTTCTAGGCAACAACTAAGATGTCCTGCTTCAGAAAAGTCCTGTCTTAAAAGTCCGGTCTATATCTTGGAAATAAATGGCCTACATTGAAATAAAAAAAAAAAGATTTATGTCTTCTAAAAAAAAATTACGTCTTCTGAAGTTTGATGGAGGTTTACCAACTTACAACTTGTTAGTTGGAACTGACTCACAACCTGTGACATGAGTTATTGTTTTCTTTCTGGAACAAATGTCTTTGAGTTTTGATGTATATAGGAATATTGAACATATTGTAGACCACCAAGAAAACAAACAGGTCTGTCCTGCAAAGAGTGAAACCAAGCTGCTCCTTAGAGGCAAGGATTTTTTATTTTTATATACACACACACGCACACACACATATATATGTATGTGTGTGTATATATATGTGTGTATGTGTGTGTATACATACATATATATATATATAATGTTTGTGTACATTGTTTTTCACACCAGATCTTTCCCATTTGCTTCACTCACCTCTCCCTCCCTCCATCAAACCTTATGTATGTGTAACCTTGTGATTAACCACCTCAACTCTGCCTATCTTCACTCCTATGCTCCCTCTGTCCCCCTCCTTGTATCCTCATACTCAAAACACCAAACTGGGAGGCATTGATTTTGAAGGTCTGTCTCACATACTTCGTGCACTTGGCCAAGAGAGATCAGTCCTTGGAGAAGGACATCATGCATGGAAGGGTGGAGGGACAGTACAGGAGAAGAGGACCCTGGGTAAGAGGGATTGATACAGTAGTGGGGGTAATGAGCGAAGGTGTGTCAGAGATAGTGAGACTGGCACAGGACAGGGATTCAGAGCTATTGTACATAGGGTCGCTATGAGTTACAGGTGACTAGATGGCATGTAACAACAACAAGATACAGGATGCATGAAGAATTTAAAAATGTTTAATTTTAAATCTCTAAATGTATTATTATTGCATTTTTAACAAAGTTGTTATCACATGTTATGTTTATATGTTACATACCAATGAGTAACAATCAACCCATAGCTGACCCTCCAGTGAATTTCCAGTGACAGTAGAAGATTTCCCATTTTTCTTTAATGAAGCAGCTGGTGGATTTGAACAATGTGCCTTTGAGTTAACAGTGTAATGCCTTATGATGAAACTACCAGAGATCCCTCGGTCTTTCCTTTCAATCTTTCATCTATCTCATTCTTTCATGAATATTCTATCAATTAGAAAATTTTATATATGCATAATTATTATCTAATGATTATCTGTTTGAGAGAATGATATGTCTTGACTAGATTACAAATTCTTCTTTTAAATTTGTTCAAATATCAGTCTCTTACCTATTGGTAGAAGATGATGTTTTCCATCTTGTTTGAGTACTTTTTAATTGATAAACAGCAAAATTTACATAGGTAGAGTTACAAGTACTAATGCTGCTAAAATAATAAGGGTGATGGATTTTTTTGTGTGCGCTTATGAATTGATGATGATATGAAAAGGGAGACTGACATTCTACTCCATTTCTTCTGAAAAAGAAGTTGGCTCAGAAAACCTTTAAACTTCTGCATTTTAAACAATTAGGGTAATTTAGTTGGGTGAAAGTATTAAGGTGAGATTACATAATTTTCTCAATGTATAATTTATTAACAAGTGGTCAACTGTATCAATTTTTCCATTCATAATATATCTTTATGTCAATAAGTGAAAAAATACTCTTTTATCTTATACATTTATTGAAGCTTTAAAAATTCAGATTTCAAAATAAAAACTGTTACACACACTTGACAGGTTAAAGACAATAATTATGATATTGGTTACATTAAAGCTACTTTTTTAGGAGACATATGATTACTTGTTAAGGATGTACTTAGGAAACTGCTTGTTTTATTCACACCTGGGATATTCAATTTTCCCTTCCTGACAAACTGTGCGAAAAGATTCTTGTGGTGTTTTCATTTTGTGCCCCGGTGTACACTTAAATTCAATAACATCACCTGTTTTTGAATAAAGTTTTTTGTGTTTTGTCCATCTTAGTTCTATGTTATTTTTGTCCATATTTTCTCCAGATATTACACAAGCATCTGAAAGAAGAAATAGTAAAGTCAAATAGCTGAGAATTACCCTTCCATTTTTCTAAAGCACTGAAATTCTATTTAAAAATATCTTGCAATTAAAGGAAGTGATAAAATAGCAGTAACAGCTAAAATTTATTTAATTATTCTGGATGTTCTTCTGAGTACTTATAATGTATCATCTCTACACAGCCATATATAATTTCTGTGAGTAACACTTCCACAATAGCTTGCCTCTGGAAATCCTATGAACCTGGAGAAAGGACAAAAGTTATACCGGAAGTGTCCAGGACTTAGTTCATAGGGTCATTATGAGTCGCCACATATAAATAGACAGAGACACTAATAAGTTGAATGATTTTCCTCAAGGTGATACAGCTTAATGAATATTTTCAACCTATGTACCCTGCCTGTTTTGACTCCAGAAACAGTGCTTCTTGGAGGCAAGGCCTTTGTCTGGGCATTTTGTCAGCAGGAACTAGTATTTGAAAAAGTACATTATGCTTTGAAGAATAGAGAGTCAAAGCAAATGAAGAAAACCCTTAATAAGATGGATTGACACAATGTCTATGACAATGGGGTCAAGTGTGCCAGAGATGGTGAGTTTGACTCCAGATAATGCAAGGTTCAGAACTGCAGCTCACAAGGTCACTTTGAATTATAGTCAGCTTGATGGCAAATAACAATAGACTACAAGAAAGGGAGCTCTGGTGACCTAATGAGTAAAGAATTGTTCTCCATCCCAAAGACATGCTGTTAAAATCCACCGGTTGTTCTGTGGGAGAATGATGGACCACCTCCCATGTGATTTATGGCCTCTTAAAACTGAAGTGAGAGGTAGGACTTGGTTCCAACTTGACAGTACAGAACAACAGCAATGCACTGTACCAAGTAGACGTAAATAAGCTATTTTATTTGGGTTATTGTTCTTCATTTCCTAAAATTTTCTCAGAGTTCTCTTTTACATGATAGAGTCTGTAACACTCACAGCCCAAACACTAGAAATGTATTATTAGCATTTGCTTAAACCATATAATAACAAGCCTATTTTTCTCTCAAACATACAGTGCAGGGATTCATAATATGTTTTAAAACCAATCATCTCTTGGAAATATAACTAGCGTCTTAGTCGAAATTATTTTACAGAACAGTAATTTCTATCAACTTTTATACGCTTATTTAGATCTTCCTCTTCACAGAGTCTCATATGAATTAATGTCAACTCAGCAGTAATGAAGTTGGATTTTCATAGTGTAGTCATATGTGGATCTTAATGGTACTCTCCTCCATTGATCACCACCCATTCTTCCTTAAATTCACATTGTAAAAATTTAGCAGTAGCATTCTCTTGAGTAAATAACACATGCTGACACACAAATCAGCACATTCATTTCAATGCATACTGTCTGACTTGGAAATTGTTTAAAGATACCAAAGACCCTAAAGTTTAACTAAAGAAGCCATCCTAGGAAGTGGCAGCTATAAGTGACTTTATTGTACCTTGACTTATCCATAACACAGAAATTCTACAGTATATTGTCAAATATTTACAAATAACTCAGAACTGACCAGATCCAGGACTGCAGTAGTGGTGGCGGGAACATCTTTTTACTGACATGTCAATAAAAGTGAGAGACACTTGTGCATGAAGCTTATGTCTGTGGAATTTGGAGCCAGAATGTTGGTGGTGGTGGTAGAAGTTGGAGTCAGATCACCTATGTATAAATCTTCGCTCCTTCAAATAATCATTTGTGAACTCAGAAAAAAAAAAACAAACTAGGGTCTCTGTGTCTCAGTTTCTTTGTCAATATTTTTAAAATTTTAGATTGGATTGCTTTAAAACGTCTTATACATTTAGTTTTAAACTATTTTTCATTCATATCTTATTTCACGCAATCATTCTCATGCATTATGTTTTATGAAATTAATCATCATTGGACCTTGCCCATCATTACCATGTCTTTTCAGATCCCTGCCAGAGCCTTCCTGTTTACTTCATTCCTTCAAGATTTTTGAGAGAAAATAATTGTCTTTTCTGACTATTGTAAAAAGAAAATGAGGCATGTATATCCTCAGACATATATCTTTTAACATTTGCAAGAGTGCTTGACAAGTTCAAATTTATAGAAAAAGTTCTATGTCTCTAATATTATGTCTTTTCATATTTAATAATATAGTAGTACCTAGGGTGTTCTGGAAACTCTATGAACATGGGGAAATTATGAAAGTTATACAAGTGTTCAGGTCTTTTGTTCATAGGGTTGCTACGAGTCATCTGCAACTCAACAGGACTAAACAACAACAACAGCATAGAGCTCTGTTGGCTTAGTAGACAGAAAGTTATGCTACCAAGCCAAAGGATTTTGATCTGCGGTCCTTAGGCCTGGTTTCAATTGTTTTTGGTCAAACATTCTTCTAAGCAGTTTAACACTGGTCTGTCATTTGCTGTACAGAGGTAACTTGTGGTTGCTGTGATGCTAAACACTGTGACACTGATGTATCAAATTCGATAATGGTTACCCGTGGTGGACACTGTTTGGTGGAGCTCCCTGATTAAAAAAAGCCTGGAAGCAGGAGAGGCATCCACTTCTGAAATAACTTGCCTCCGAAAACCCTATGAACTTGGAGAAAAAAGTTATACAAGTGTTCAGGTCTTTCGCTCATAGGATCACTGTGAGTCATCTATGACCCGACGACACTTACCACCACCACCACCACCACCATCTAGAGTGTGTAATTATTTATGTTCTTGACAATACTATGTGTAATGATTTTTTTCCCTTTTGTCAAGTTCCTATTTAAACAGTGACACATCAGTGTTGGAGGTTCAATTCTATGAAGAGATCTGACTACTTTTGGAAAATCTGTCATTGAAAATCTCATGGAACAATGTTCTAAGATATATAGGATGACCATAAATCAGGAACAACTTGACATCAAGTAACTAATTGATTTATGCTCATTTTATTCAGTAAGTTTCACACAGTTTTGGGCAACGTGACTATATGCAGTGATGCTTCTGTGTAGAGGAAGACAGTGAAATAAGAAAACAATTAGTTTCTTAAATGGTTTTCCAGCTTTCCCACTTGTTACCTTACTAATTAAAAATCCTGAAAACCTCAAGTAAAAGACCATGCATGCATTAGTTAAATATTCAACCAGGGAAAATTTTCAGTTTTACAAGTAGAATTCTATATCCTAGTAAAAGACACTTTTCCTGAACCAATGTTTAGATCATGAGATATTTAATTATGTGATATCCCATGTTGTTGTTAGGTGCCATTGAGTTGAGTACAACCCATAGCCATCCTATGAGCCCTGATCTGACTCCTGTTCTGTCCTGTGCCACCCTTAAACTTCCTGACATACTAGAGTCCATTGTGGCAGTCACTATGCCAATCCTCCTTGTTGAGAGTCTTCCTCTTTCGCTGCCCCCACCCACCACCTTTCCAAACATGATGTTCTTCTCCAAGCAACAGCCCCACCTAACAACATGTCTGAAGTATTCAACAGCTTCAACATTTTTGGCTTCAAGGAGCCCTGTGGCTGCATTTTCTCTGAGATCTCTGTATGTTCTTTTGGCAGTCTGTGAAATGTTCAGTACTCTTCTCCAACATTCAAATGATGCTCGATTGTGCAACTTTCAGATGCATAGTAAGTGATTGGAAAGCCTGAATCAGATGCCCCCTTGTCCTCAAACTGACATCATTGCTTGTCAATAACTTGGAGAGGTCCCTGACTGCAGACTTTTCCAGTACAGATGTACGATAGTTGAATAATTTTGAATAGATTTTATAAGGCACTTTAGCATATTTAGGCCTCATAAACTTCTTATTTCCTAAGGTTTCCTTTTGCACATTGTTTAAAGGAGGTCTGAAAATATTTTTCTCTATATCTGGTAGAAATATTTTGGCTGAATGAAATTTAGTTAAAGCCCATCCTACAAAATCAGCTCATGAATATTTCACTGTTAATATCAAGTCTCCAGGAAAATATTCACTCACCTATGCATCTTGGTGGTTCTGACCACTGTCCATTATTGCATATTACGTTTGCAGAGCCCTGGAGTTCATACAGAGACTGGCAAAGATATGTGACTGTTGATCCTGCAGGATATCGCAGTAATGGGAATGAGGTGATATCTCCGTTGCTGATGGACGGAGGTGGCCCACATTGCCCTTTCAACTCTGAAAAACAGTATTTTCAGAAAAAAAAAATTGTAATGTCTTACATGAGATCACACACACACACACACACACACACACACGAAAAAAAGGAACTACTACTGGTGGCTGAGTCCACACAGAACTGCATTTCTAATCCAAAGGTGCTACCTCTCTGGTGGTTTGAGTCCACCAGCAGCTGTGGGAGAAAAATGGACAATCTCCTCCTGTGCGATTTGCAGCCTCCTGAAAACACGTTGATAGGTTAGCTCCCAGTCAGCTCCAAATTGATGGTTATGTATTTTGAGTGTCTCTCTCTTTCTCTCTCTCTCTCTCTCTCTCT